AAGAAGTTTATTCTTCGCCTATTCAATCAGAGCAACATTTGAGAAATCGTATCGTAGCTGCAGCGAACAGAATATCGCAAGAACAGTGCCTGGCTGCTACAAGAGCCGTGTTTGACAGATGCAATGCTTGTATTGCTGCAAGAGGTGCACATTTCGAACAAAATCTTCATTAAAAAGTTTATAAATAAAATAATTAAAATAATAAATTAAATATATTTTTTTCTTTTTTCGTGATTTCCTGCGAAACAAAGCAAAAAGGAGCATATGTCTATAGGACTTTTTTTCTTAGTTTTTTACTCCTCTACACGCTCCCGAAGTTTTGCCATTTAATTTGGAAACACCTATATAATTTAATTTAATCTAATTATTTTCATTATTTTTTTTATTATTGTTTTCTCTTCATTATTTTAATTTAATCCTTGACGCAAAACGTCTGATTTTCTTCTCAATCGATTTCTCGAGTATCTCTTGACAATTTCTCTGTAAGTACCGAGCGCGGATCCACGTGAAAGTGCATCTCGCCTTTCTCCATTCAGGTTTATTGTTCGCAACGATTGTGGAACGACTACTACGGATCGAAATTAGGTCAAAATCGATGGAAGATACATATTTGACCTTCAGTAATAACTTGTACAATTTAAAAAATTTTAATGTCTTTGTTTACTCAAGAAAGCAAAGTTTTTATTGCCACAGTAACATTCTTACTCATCCACGTATAAAGACCGGTTTCAGGTAACGGTACCAGCTAAGGCTTGTATGAAAACGTATACAAACGTGTAATTAAACTGAAGAGACTAACGAAAGCGAGAGGAAGTTGGGTGAAAGTCGTTTGTCCGGTTCTATATGTGATGTCTCTCGCCGAACACATCTCATATTATTTTATTTCCTCCGAAATCGCTTCGTCAATACGGGGAAAGTAATTGCATAACGAATGCGGTGTGACATCCACTGGGGCGGAAAGATTTAAATTTTAAATTAAGTGAAGTATTTCCATACGCAATCTAACGTTTGTGATAGAGCATTTTTAGAGTGATTAATACACGGACTTTACAGACTAGAAGCACTATATTCGGCAAAGGTATACATAACACGTCACGACGCGTCTTTTGTTTACCGCCTACGACAGTGAAAGTGATTACGTGTTGTGTGTACGTGCAAATAATTTTAATATTTTACTTTCCACTTGCCTTAACATCTCGTTAAATTGCAAATTCACGTTGATAATCTATGACATTTGTGCATCGTAGCTTCCTCTATGATGTCCAAGTTACAAGTAATGCAACCAGCTTTATATTCTCTTAATCATTCTCCACAACTCGCTTCTTACACTAAATCAATTATCTCGAAGTAGGTCGGCAATAGAAAAACAATTAAGTCGTCTCAGATCACTCGATTCATTAAAAATTTTATGGCTATTTAAATTTCTAGCATCTCTATGTTTATTATTTAAAATTAAATCATAGAATTCATTCTCCTTCTATTTCAGCTTTCTCTTGAAAATGAAAAACAAAATTTACAAAATACAAGAAATACCTAAATTTCCAAGTAAAACGACGTTTAAAGGTTCTGTACATTATTTCTGCTTTATACAGATTATATAAACTAGTTATTCAAATAGAAACTGATCGGTATCCAAGTAGCTTCTCTTAAATATTCATAGCACAGTAATTCGTCTTTAGCATCACAATAATGGGTCGGATGCTTGACAAATCGCGAATCTGAATAAGGACGAAACGGAAGCAATATTTAAAGAGGAGAAAGTTTTTATACACATATATTCTACAATAGAACGACACACGTAGATTTCACTCCTAATTTCAATAAAGCATTTTATGCGATACATATATCTACATTTAAGAAATATATTGGAGAAATCTCAATTTTCCAATTATTAAACAAATAGCGATGAACGTATGCAAATATTATATTGCTTCGGCCAATCGGTAATCGATAAAAACACTTCTTGCCGCGGTCGCTCTTCGTCGACGAACGCGAAAAAATATTTACCCCTCTGAAAAAAATAGGATCTCTAATGGATTAAACAATAAGTCTATCAATCTACGATTAAACAAACACGAGATCCTACATCTTTTTCATGATTTACATTTAGTTTGTATAAGTTAAAAGTATATCATCATTACTTTGAAAATGACTATTTGACTATTTATTGTGAAGAATTTACAATGCAAGAATCTGTATAATTATTTCACTCAGTTGTACTCGTATATATCCCGATCCTCTTTTGTCTCTATAATAATAATCTTATAATTTTGTAGCTAATAAAGGAAATTATTAATATTAATGTTGATACATGGAAATTTTATTGTTTGTATTTTAACATTTTTTCTCTAAAATTGCATAGCTACTTTTGTAATTGTTAATTATATTTTCATATATATTTAAAAAATTTTACGTAAAATTACCATTGTAACAACAAAGAAAATAGTCTTTTATATTTTTTTATAAAATATAAAAAATCATTAATTGTTTAAAAACATACCTGACCGTTTATCTTCAGATGCACCAGCGATAAACTAATTTTCTCAGTCCGCTACCGCGTCTTATACTCTCGCTCTCTAACGAAACTTTCTCCTTGCACGATGCCGTGGTCTGTGCTTTTACCAAAGTCGTCACGAATCTTATATAGAAGCCGTCCCTTTCGGGGATGCTGGACCCGTCGCGTGAACCACCGGTGGGGTAGATCCATGAGTCATCGACGACGGGCGAACATCCGTCTTCGTGACGCTTCTTCTGGCACATCGTAAAAAAGCAAATCAGAAAAAGTGTAATTCGAACAACGTAATGCGTACCTTGGATGCGTCAGACTCATCTTTTCGTCACATACGAATACGAAAAATCGCATCTCCCGCCATTTTTCCATTCTTACTATATCAACGTTTTATTTTTCGATTTACACACATTGAGAAACGATACATTGGATATATGTATATGCACTGGAAATCGTATTTTATACATTATACCTGCTGTTCTCTCGATAGCATTTAGAATATTTATTTTATCGGAAAAATACAAAAAATACAATAAATTGCAGTGCGGTATGATTGAAATTTACATTGTGACTTCGAAAGAAATTTACACTGAATCCATTAATCCTATATTGTGAAAGAATAACACAATGGAATATTTAATATGATTTCTAGTAAGCATATATCTTAATTCAACATTTGTAATATTTATATGATTAAAATTTCCATTAATTCTGAATGAAAAATCTGTCACATTAAATTATACAAATTAATATATGTACTTGAATGATTCACGTGACAATTCATTGTATTCAAAATCATTTAATATTTATAATACCGAAATATATAACAAGAATCGAGTGAAGATATTTTTGATTATTCTTACGCATCCTCTAATTGAAGAATGAAAAAGTATAAACAATACTCTAAAGTTTCAATATTCTCTTTTCAAATTAATTTAAATTGTTTTTTTTTCGAAAAGAAATTCGACCGCGAATGTAAAAGGCCATCAGGTACGAAGAAGTCAACTCGCATGGTCTTTCGTATAATTAGTTTGCCACACAATTCCTGGAGAACATCAAGTGGGTTTTTCTTGTACAGCTGGCATTATATAAGAGACAGGAACATGTATATACAAATATAAATACAGAACTATTGTCGTTTATCATTTAATGAACATTTGGTGAATGAATTATGCCTTACATAATTATGCTTTACGTCATTTTATATTTGTCGTCAATAAAATTGCGTACAAATTTATTCAGGTCAGGTTTCGAGGTTACCTCGCAAATAAATAATAAATTTGTCTAAGATTCGACCAGAGGAAATTGTAATATTGGTGTTGCAATTGTATCCTCCGAAGAGGATCTATAAATTTACGGTCATTATCCTACATTGTTTTCGCGGTAATCCGTTTGACGACATTATAATATCGATTTCTTCAATCGATTTATACTCTAATTTAAGTAATTGTAGAATCGTATTGTTGGCATTCACGATTATGTAGAAAGATTTTTCTTGCGACATGAGTCTTTCATGTCGCAACTCCCAAAATAAATGATTACACTTGAGGAACTGTACCAAACCGGATACTTTCTTTTCATGGTCGTGCCGGGCGTGAGGTGCATCGACCTTGACTTCATGGATCATCGGGTTCAATATAATGATTTTCACTCTCGATAGAAAGTGAAGAGGCGTACTTCGACAAGAGACGCCTCCGTCTCGCTACGAGGAAACGAGTATTACGGCCATTGATCAGAAAGATTATGATGGTATAAAAAGTAGTATAAAAAATATGGCTGCTAGGGTCCAAACGCAGAGCTAGATGTATCCCGTAAATATTTAGGCTCTCTCAGGATCCGGGAGAAAGTACTCGCGCGTGTATTCCAAGGGAGCGTGTCAATGAACTTATCCGTTTTAGGTCTCGCGGGAGTTTTTTCATCCAATTGAATCCCGTAGTTTCTCGCCACGAGGAAATTACACGATTTCGCGATTTTAGACGAATTTTCGCATGAAAAATTGCAATTTTCGCCGTTTTGGTTCCAGTAGAGTGAATTACTCAAATTTAGAACGGGAACCAAAATCCTTAATGCGACCTATTTTTTTTTCTTGTCACGTATCGATGATCACAACGGCGATGCAACGATGCCGATTTCCTTTCACGGACCATGCACTGCGTCATTACGAAACAGGGATTTTCCGCGGCCTTTCGTAACACTGGGAATTTCGTGTCGTGGATCGTGCCGTGTTAAACCGCGCGTGAATTGTCTTGACCCAATTCAGATATCCTTCTACGTTTTCTTCTTTCTACGCTGGAATGCAAATGAATTCGATGCAGCGAATATAACATAGATAATAACTTCACGTGAAGACAATAACTTCGCGTTCGAGCGTGTTAAGATTAAAGCTCTAAAATGCATATAATATTATAACGCTCGCGTACGGAATACAAGAGATCCGAGTTCGACTCCCGGCCAAGGTAATATTTCTCGCAATAAATTTAATTACAGTTTTTCAGCATATTAACATCTTGTAATATGATGCCTAATTGAACATCAAAATTATTAAAATTGTTTGTCAATTTAATTTACGAGTTTACTACAGTAGTTTAATTGTGTTTATATAGTATATTATAATCCGGACAAAGAATTCGGCGCGCAGTTCGAAAGACTACTAATATGGTATATATGCAAGTATGTACAGGGTGTTTGGAAAGTAATGAAAAATCTTTTGCATAGAGAGGCAGAATGAACTAAACTGAGAAGAAAAGTCCTTTACCATTTTACAATTTTCGCAATAGTTAACAAGATATTAATTACTAAAAATTGTCGAAAATTGGTCTTCAATAATTTTTTACTCAAATACTATTAATTTTACAGAAAAACTGAAAGAGACAAAAATTGTTTATTTTCTTCTCATAAAGTTCTAAGAATTTTTTTAGAAATTTTTATCAACTTTTTAGTATTGCATTTTCTTATTTTTACCGACATGAGAAAATACTGTATTAAAAAATTCTGAAAAAATTCTTAGAACCTTATAAGAAGAAAATAAACAATTTTTGTCTCTTACAGTTTTTCTGTAAAGTTAATAGTACTTGAATAAAATTATTGAAGACCAATTTTCAACGATTTTTAATAATTAATATCTTGTTAATTATTGCGAAAATTGTAAAATGGTAGAAGACTTTTCTTCTCAGTTTAGTCCATTCTGCCCCTATGCGAAAGATTTTTCATTACTTTCCAAACTGTATACAGGGTGTCTCTTAAGTAAGGTCCGAGCCGCATTGGGGACGTAGAATGGGTCAAGGGGAATAAAAAAGTTTTATACCATTTTAGATATTCGCTGTAAAAATTTCAGCTAAAATAACATTCTTGGATAGTGTAGACGCGGTGCGGCGAAATACCGTTAGATAGGACCGTCATACCAGGCGGCAAAGCGCTATTCCCTCGCTGCGCGCCGTCGTTGTCGAGTGAGGCATGATGGGCCGTGCTACGAATTCGCGCAGCGCGGCTTCACCGTTTTCTTGGCTTACATATTTTCTTTATTAATTTGAAAACTACAGCGAATATCTCAAAATTGTATAAAACTTTTTTGTTCCCCTTGACCCATATTACGCCCCCAATGCGGCTCGGACCTTACTTAAGAAACATCCTGTATATTATATATAATAATTCAAGATTGAATTATTTAAAGCATTAAAAGATCCAGCCTCGATCGTTATAGGCATTTTAATTTCTAGTATTGATTGTGTTCTCACATAAACGGTCTAAAATAAAGATTATTGATTATAACGCAAAATTATATGAATTTTTTAAGAGAGAAAAATTCTTAGTAATTCTTTCTCGAGAAGAACGATAAAGAGGATCGGCTATGACTATGTAATTTCTTCGAGGTTGTCGAGGAAGGTATAGGAGATGGAAATAAGGGTTTAGAAAATAAACACGCCGACTTTCACCAAGTTCTTTCTTTTTTTTGCGTGGATGAGATTACACGATAGAAGATGATTATCGATGAGGAGACAAGCTGCGAGCTGCTACGCATACTTCCACACGGGCTTTACTGAGGTCGACGGCTACCGGTCTGATGATTTTTGCGGTCAGTAGGTAATATGGTACCCATGTTGCTCGATCGAGTAACTCGACGGGATCTCCGCGATCGGCGCAGAATAATAAGCGTATGGTGATACCTAGTAACGAGAAACGTGATAAAAAATTGTATTTTGATTTTCCAACCTAATTTGATCACAGAAAACGATAAGCTTTGAAAAATTTCCTTTTCTATTCTTTCTTTATCCTCAGCGATCCATATGAAAATTATATCTTGATCTACAGTATTTCTTTGTAATTTAATGTTGAGTGATCGAAAAATACAATTAAAGATTTGCGTTATTTTTTATATTGATTGAAATAATGAAAAGGCAGAATATAAGAGCGCGGCAGCAGATTATGGATTATTTGTAATTTTAATCTTTTCATTTTGCCAATTCTTTTATGATTATTTGCGACTTTTTTCATTATTATCTTTTGACATTATAATTTTAAAATCAAAATTATGACTTGTCAAGTATAATTGAATTTTAATTCTTGTATGTGTGTAATTTATATGCGACTGAAGAAGACTTTGTAAAGTTGAAACTCTAATTTCGCTTAATTAATGTATTCGCTTTTTAATGTATTGAACACATTAAATTTTATTTAATATTTTATAACATTCTTCGCTTTTGCTCGTCTTTGACTTTTTTTCTTATATTATTATCTTGGTATAAAGAACAAAGTTTTATAAGTATATAAATTTTAAAATCGATTCTTTAAATGTAAATTCACAAACGTCCGATTCTTGAATTGAAGCTATCGGTAACCAACCCATGGTTCGGTGGATGATCCTATTTTTAGAAATCGAACGTTTTTGCGGCGCGTGAGTCGATTTTCGAATGTTGAACGCCAAGATATACACTTGGACTTTTTATATCTACCTGTGAAAGAACGGGTGCGGCATAGGCGAGACGGGAAATCGGTGCGATTACCGGTGTAGCTATTGGCGCGATCGGCGCGACCAGCGGTGTGAGCTTGGCAGTTGACGCCGGAGTTTTCAACTCGGAGACGAGGGTGAGTGGTCTGGGTGCCGGCGCTGGCGCGGACCACGCAAGGCCGACGAGAGTGGCGAGCAGAATCTGCAAGTAATCGTCATAAAGGAAAAGCTCGCTTCTTATTTAAATTGGAAAACTTCGGCGCGGGGCACGTCGGCGAATATAAGTAACCGTTGAACCGCGTGAAGCGAATGAGTCTACGTGAGGTAAATATCATCGCGAGAAGACACCTCCTTCGCGCCTAACAGCGGTGAATAAAGCCCATGGCACATACAAAAACGTAAGACCGTAAGACATAATCAGTAAGCGAATTGGCCAATCACGATAGAGACCGTAAGGCCAGTAGCGAATCCAATCTTACGATTTCTTTACTGCTTACGTATTACGGCCTTACGTTTTTGTATGTGCCATGGGCTTAAGCGCGTTATACTTCCGGAGAATGAATGCGAATTGCAACTCAGAGACGTTGGAGATCACAATAGGAGAGAAATCACAAAAATTATTATTATTAAGTATTTCGTTACGATTTTTAAATTCATTGCGGATGCACTTTGCACTCTTCACGGAATGCCAGATTTACTTACGAATCGCAACATGACTTCGGGCAAGGATTCTGCGCGGATGCACTCGGGAACGATACTTCGTATAAATGCGCGCGCCAGCTTGGTTTCCTCGTACTTATAGAAGTCTCAAGGGATGCCGTAAAAAGTAGACTCGTCCGGCACTACAAAAGTTCCTAACTGCCGTACCACCGCATTCCTCCCCGGTCTCAGGGACGGACAAGGCTATAGTTGCAACATGACACATCCTTGCTCTAGGATGCATCGACCATGCATTACATTCTACTTCTGAAGTAACTTTATGGCTGTCCATTCATAATATATTTATAATATAGGAAAACAAAAATTTAATTAGTCGAACTCGGAAATAATTGATGTGCTCTACGCGGAAAGAATGGTTTTGCTAAAGTATTTAAAAATTTAGCTAAATATAGATCTGAAAATAATTTGGTTTTTTGGATTATCAAAATAATTATATATAGCACGCTTAAGTGTTGATGACAATGATGCGGATATAACATTTTAACAATCGCTCAGAATATTTATGATAAATATTACTATTCATTTTTTGAAATGTTATGTAAATACTTTATACATATTTTGTAATAAAGCTTTATTCGAAATATTATTAAAATATAGACTAATTATTTTATATAATATTTTTGAGATAAATATAAATAAGTATTTCTAATAAGTATTTTTTATTTTTATTATAATGCTTTATTAAGTATTTTTTACAACATTTATGTTTCATAAATGTTTCATAATATTTATAATAAATATTTATGATTGTACAATTTATAAGACCATAAAAATATTTATAAACTATTTAAAATAAGTCTAATAAATATTTACAAATATTTTGTAAATATTTTATGAATATTGTGTGCCGTCTGAGAGCTTGAACATCCTACATAATTATTCTCATAGCTCAACAAAATTATTTTCTAATTTAGCTAAATTTTTAGATACTTTAGCAAAACTGTCCTTTCCATTTTTTTACCATTTTAAATGATTGCTTTGAAAGAGAAGATAAAGGAAGATTATCGTAAATATTTACGCATAAAAGAATATGTATCGTGAATCAGTTAGAACGAAAGAAATAATACTATTTTCATCCAAAAAGATGCTTAATAATCTAAATCCTCAGTATATCTTCTTAACAAAAATTAAATTGCAGATTTCTTTCCGTTCGCATTACCTTTCGTTAAATATACAACGGATAAAACGCGCACGACAGAACAGTACATCGATAAGAATAATGCTTGAGTCCCGAGGAACGTTCCTCTCTTCCATTACTTCCCATTTCTATTTCTTCCTCTTTCGAGAAACAATCCTAGCGCAAGAGCCCTTCGACTTCGCATTTTTCAATTATCGATCCACGTCCCTCGGACGCAGCACGTACGTTTTCGCTGCAATTCTCCCGTTGGTATTTTCTTCAGCGAATATATGTGTGCACGTATACATTCCCAGTGTCAGTGTGGGACGAGCGTGATTTAAGAAAGGGAGACGCGAGAAGGTTCGATAGGCTAGCGCGACTCGACTACGCGCGTCTCTTTGGATACAAGCGCGATCCGGCGATGCTTTACAACGTCATTCGACGCACCGTAGACAAGGGATACCGAGGCCATTAGCAGTACTCGCAGTTCATTCACCCAAGACCTTGAGGATCCAAGCATGCATATACCTTCGAAGGCAATCGCGCGTCGGGCAATTTATATCGAGTTACAGATATGTATCATTGATCGAGTGGCGAACTCGTTGACAAGATGATGCAGATCTATACAATTTATGAGCGCGAATTTTACTTGTTGAGAAAATATTCGTAATACACAAATATAATAATACAGACGTACCTACATATAATAGAGAAATTATTGCATAAACGACAAATATAGATTGGACACAGAAGGGAATAATTTTTATATGATGACTTGAATACTTTACTTCTTGGGTTTGTTAAATGTATGTCTGGATATGAAATGCATGAAAAATTTATTGAGGAATTACATCGAGTATGTGCAATACAATCTTTTTTTTTATAAATGTTGACAAACGTGATTGATCGGCCTCTTTCCCAGGCTAAAGACTGCCAGTTTCGATCCGTTTGTTAAGTCACGCAAACGACATGGTTCTCGAACTTGGGATAGTTCTTAGAGTAATTTACGAAGACAATGTCGCTGCGAAAGTGATCGAGAATGATGATAGTTTCGGGTGAGCGGTTTTCCGATTGCGAGCAAAGACTAAAGGACGATTCTTCCTTTAACACTAACGAGCACAACAGGGATCAACTGTCTCTCTTTAAATTTATGAAACTTTTAATTGAATAATTTTTCATTTGAAGATAATTTAACCTTTTTTAATAAAATATTCTCAAACGAAGATCGTGTATTTTAAATTCATCATAGATTTTATTTTGTAAATCCATGCGTGCTCTTTAGAGTTACTATTTATGTTTTGATACTTCGCCCGGTGATTATTTATAATGCGTGTTGAATGCTATGCCCGTAATTGGATACAGTCTTCTCGGCGATCAGCTGATGGGGATACGCCGAATAATACGGTGAATAGTACGGTGCCGTGTAAGCTATTTCACGACTGGCAATCGCGGGTACTGCGACGTGCGATTCGATGGCTGCCAGAGGTTTTGCCACTGCGATCAACGGACGCGCGTCGTGAATCACTTGGTGTCCGTGGGCCTCGATCGTCTTCTCAGCGATCAAGGAGGCCTTCGCTACCGGTTGCACAATCTCGGCGACTGGTTGCTGTACCAGAGCGACATCCGCGTATCTCAGTAGCGCGGGTGAAGCCGCGGCCACCAGCGACGCCGATGGATGCACCACGTTGCTGCTGTGCGCCTCGACGACCTTCTCAGAAACGAGCTTGCCAATAACAGGCGTGAGAATAGTTCCACATTGCACCGTGGCGATGCTTGCCAGGACGGAAATAATCACCTACGAAAGAGAACGTTTGCCGCGGATATGAAACCTCCGGGTGATTTTGGAAAGAATAGGATACCGGCGGTGTCAATATTTTCCAACTGTCTTTACATTCTTAGTAGATCAAAAAATTGGACGTTCTGTTGTCAAAATATGCTAGGAATAATTATTATCAGTTCGATTAGCTTTAATTCGTTAAGCTCGTTGTTCGTTATTAATATTTATAATATATTAATATATTTATAAAATATGTTAAAAATAATTTTATATATTTTTTTTTACATTTATATAGGTTGTTTTATGGGAAATTGTTAAAACTAATCAGCTGTCATTTTTAAACGCACCCAGGGAATAGGAAAAGTAAAATATATTTTTTAATAAGACATTTGGCAGTTTTATTTACATATAAAGTAACAATGATTGGACATATTTGTATCATTTAATAAATGTTTATAAAAATGTCAAATATTGCTAATCGTAATAATATATGTATATTTTCGAAATGCTAAATTCTTAATGATATATATTTTGGAAATTAAAAAAAATTTTATTTAACATCTCTTTTGACAAAAAAAGAAATATACATCATTAAGAATTTTAGCATTTCGAAAATATAAATCATTAAGATTAAGGCTTTGACATTTTTATAAACATTTATTAAATGATACAAATCTTTTCGATCATCTTTACATTAATTCTTATTCCCTATATATGCGTTTAAAAATAATAGCTGATTAGTTTCAAGATAAGACACCTATTAAATTATATCATATATATAATTATTTTTAATTAATCTCGACGATTGCCAATCACTTTACTATTCAGAGGCAATAAATTTTTCGCCTTAGTTGCTAAATAATGTTAAGAATCGTCGATCTTACCAGCCTAAACATGACGATGGATTTTCACTACTTTTGGATCAGAACCTGGGACTGATCTGCACGCACGCGGATCTACGCATGCTTATATAGGAGAGTGCTTCCGTGATCTTCGAGAGACCTTCAAGGTCTGTGCAATAAGAATTCAACGCCCTGCCAGTGTATAGGATGTGTCGAGGAATATTCAATGTGCCGAAGGCACGTTCTTGTCTGAAAATATGTACGCGTGTAAAATACATTCCCGTGAACGTATTTCTTATTCGCATAAAATATTAAGAATTATCGAGAAAGGCCAAGAGAGATATTCCCTTGAACTCTGAAAATTTTATTTTAGGACAACGTCTTTTAAAGATCTTATCAACAAATAGGAATTATAATTAAAAATTAAAATATGTAATATAAATATTAGACAGAAGTGACTCCAAAATATTAAGATATGATTATTAATCACGACACCAGAATTGTGAAATGGATTAGCGGACGTTATGAAAATCGAGAGTGATGAAGGATTACTTTTTTGTCAGCTGTTGGTTCTGAAAGCATTAAGCTTTTTGTCATCGTCGTCGAGCTTGTGGGGTACACTTGACGATCGAACAAAGGGGCTTCGCGATCTTGAGACTTTACTTTTACTCCTCGCCTCTTGGTAACAATAAGCACATTACACCATAGACGCAAAGAGAAGTGGTACTCCTCAGAGACGCAACAAAAAGCACTCGAACGTGAAATTACGGTCGAAAACGCGCTTAATCTTAATGATCTCATTTATCAATTTCTACTTCGTGTATGGCATTAAGGATAGCGATTTCGACAAAAGACAATGTGTCACAATTGAAAAAGCAAAACAATTAAAATAAGATTAAAATTAGCCTTTCCTTTCTTAAATCGTGAATCGTTTAAAAAACACTATTCTATCAAGACAAGATGAACTTTTGTAAAGTAATATTTAAATATTTGTCTCTCCTCAATCAAAACTTACATTCGAAAAGATATATCATTTTCAATTCAAAATTATATCTTAGCATAACTATCTTCTAATATAAAATGCTTGGAATTTTTTCTGGATTCGACACATTCAATACGTATGCAACGACATATGTATAGACACTATCTACAGTTTTCCTTCGCAAAACGTAGGTGCGATATTGAATAATTCGCCAAACTTGCCTCCTTCTCATGGAGACTTTTTTAAAGCTTCCATAAAGAATTTAGTAAGTTAGGTTCGTGAAAAGTGCATGGACGGGTTTGTATGTTCCCTGTAAATATATTCAATACGTGACCCGACGGCGCGCGGTAAAGTTTCGCTTCGCGAGTGCCATGACGGAGTACGAGCGGGGACCAAAGCCGAAACTCAAACAACCGTTGATCGCCAAGTCGGTAAACAGTTTTCATCGAGTCGTTCCAAATCCTATTTTGCGAAAAGCCTCACGTAAACGGATAGGTAGGACGCAACGTATAGGTGGACGTACTCCATGCGGGCGTGGCGTTGTGTGCTGAAATAAAAAAATTATAAGAACGAGATCACCCCGTGATCACGAGTGCGAGGAAAAATCTGCGATCCCCGATAAGCTCCCAATGGTACGTGATACGGAGGAATTAGTCCTTTAGGTAGAGCGCCGTGAGAACGCAATGAAGTAGAATTCGATAACCTCGAACTCGCAGTTCGACAATAACATGTGATATCATTCGATGGGACTATCCTAAGATTCTAATGAGAAGCAAAGGTAAAATTCGAGGAGAGATTACGAGGTAATATCCGAAATATAAAAATAAGCTCCGAAATCAGCGAGTTCTGAGATAGCGTTGATACGTTCTCTAACTACAATAGTTGAAGGTGTCAATAAGGACTGAACACATAGAGCACATTTATTTAAAGGCAAAAATGGCAACTTTATTGATTAATCGTAGCGATCGATCGTTCGACCGTGTGGACAGGCTGATACAAGTTTAGTCAAAGTGCCTGGTTGATGGATAATTTGGTCGATTCGGTCGGTCGTTCCGATGAATCGTCACGCGTCCGATTGGATGATGAAGGACGTCTTCATTATCGGCATGTGGATTGTCTTGAGCGATGGGCGAAAGGTGGTTAATTAGTGATTCTCCCTTAATGAAGGGCGACGATGGGGTGATGGGCGGTGTAGGCGACCGGTGCAGCATGGGCGACGACGGCGGGGGCGGCAGCGACGACCGGTGCGGCGGCGACGACTGGGGCAGTTTTCAAGATCGGCGCGGTGTAGGCGAGCGGAGCAGTGGCCAGAAGCGGACTCTTCACAGACACCTTGTAGGTGTTGGCGTAGCTGGTGGCGACCGGGAGGGTATGGGCGACCGCTACCGGAGCCGCGACTACCGGAGCCGCGTGGAGGGCGGGTGACAAGTAGCCGGGTGCAGCCGCGGCGCAAGCCACCAGGGCAAAGAGAGCGATGATCTTGTACATGGTGATTGAGATTGTTGCTTCGTACTTCGGCAGAACACTGAAGAGCGAATGATGCCTGAACACGGCATCTAGGACCCCTTATATTCGTCGGGGCTGACCTCTCCCACCTCTCACGGACCATCCGGTCCCGGCCACAGGTTCCTGTTGCCTTCCTCACGTCGCTCGTACCGCCATTGCTCGTTTTTTTTTTGTTGCGCGGCCACTTGTTGGAAGAGCACTGCCAAGGACTGCCTGATCGTTCGTGGCCTCAGCCGCAGACCCTTCACCGCTTCATATTTCGCAGATTTCGCTGGTACCCTCACGTGACGTAGCCTCGATGGTGGCGCAGTTGTCCATCATCGTTTTGTTTCTTCGAGAAGGACACGGGAAATACTCGAAAGGGCGACCATGATTGTTGATGGCCTTATCTCCGGGCTCTCTTTGTTTGCGAATACATGATGCCTGGATGGAGAGGTTCAATGACATAGCCTCGACTATCGATCATCAAACTCTTGACAGTATAGCCGAGTCCGGAACAATCATATGTAATTATCAAGCGATTTATTGCGTGTACATATTAGCTTTTGAACCGGCCGACGGGCCTAAAATACGAGTTGTTCGAATTGCCTCGGGCAATAATGACGTTTGGAACAGCTTGTCACTTCCTCGATTAATTCTTGATTCTTGACGGAGACGTGACATAATAATAGCCGCTTAATTGATAACGTCGACTGTAGAACATATAAATAATTTTATTATTAAACTTTCTTGTCATTGTAAGTCATTATATCTGAGATGCACACACACACATCTCATTAATAATATTTAAACAATTAAAGTAGCCTTGACAGCCGTTAGACCGACGTGGTCTCAGTTAAAATCGTTAACCCGTTCGTATAAAGGACGCTTCCAGGTTGCTTGCCCTGACTTTGGTCGTTTAGAAGGCAATGCTTCTCTTCCTCTTTGTACTTTACCCCATTTTAATGCTTATGAATTGCAACGATTTACGAGCCGGGTCGCCTTGCTCGCGGGTTTCTCTCTCAGCACGGCGGTTGAGCGGTTTTGTTCCACGAAACATACATATGTTGTTCTAACAAACTTATACCTATGCACAACAACTTGTATGCATAACTTTTTTCTCAAAGTTTTTTTAAAACTCGTTCATCTAAAAAGTTTTTTAAAAACTTTCAACTTCTGTGTCTCCAATTATTTAAGAACAATCTGCGAAAGATTAACTTTTTTCTCGACTAAATAATTGAGAAAATAATCGAGAGAATTAAATAATTTACGAGACGAAAGTTTTTCTCTAGTAACTTTTAATTTATTTGTTACTTACAATAAATACATATTTTTATTAAGTTTATAGATTAATCTTTCTCTTACAAAATATTCACTTTCAAAATCATTCTTTTGTAATTTCCTGAAAAAATTTCCTCGAAAATTTATTGTTTTTAATTTTTAGATCTTTTTTCTTTCAACTTCTATATTTATATCTAACTTAATAAATGATCGAATAACGCAGAGATCGAACGATAATCACGCCCACGTATGTTACGCTGTCCAAAACTGATGGGTGGTGGCAAACCAGAATCGGTGGCGGGAGACATTGTGACACGAGTCGCGAAAGTAAATGCTCGACTTACACAATTTCGCACGACGTGTCATATGGGCAAACGTATTCATGTGTTTGTTGCGTGCCTTATCTCTATCCTGTGCGTTTGCTCCGTTCCTTGCGCAATCATGCATCAACAATGACAATGCGTGACAGCTCGCACTGACGAAAATCGCAACGACTTCGGTGACAACCGGTTAGACGTAACGTCGACTACCGACCATACTTTTCTACGCAATGGAGTATGCGTGTGGAATAAAATATGCGTTTTTACGCAAGATGCAACCATCATCCTCGTTTCGTACTTTCATCGTTAATTGACAAATTACAATGAATATCGCTGTATGCATGTCAAAATTTCACGAATCGTTTTTCCGACTGAAATTTATAATGCATTCGTTTATATTAAATACTTGTATATACGATATACAAGTATTTAATATATTATTAAATTGATGAATTGATAATTGTGACATAGCGTATATTCGTTTCTGACGCTATGTAATTATTTACATGTGGTAGACCATTGTTACAATTATAAATTTTACATACGGTAAATTATTTTCCCTCAGAAAAGAGGGGAATTGGTACATATTGTACCGATTGTAATATCGTTATACTATGTGCGATGTGTGATTATTCAATTCATCATTCAAATATCGTCGAATGGCACATCCGGTTCGCGTCCAGTCCCCTCGCCCGTCTTATTCTCCCAAAGCGATCCAAATCTCTAGCGAGAATGTTACCGAAACCGGAAGACCTTGGCAGGCACTTCTAGATCACAAGGATGGGAGCGATAGAAAACCAGTTCTGTTTCGCGTAAGAGGGGTTTGGTCCTATAAAAAAGTGCCGCGGAACAGATTTCGGTATCATAATCGAGTAGTAACAACTCGGACAATCTTCGCAAGAAAGTCTCAAGCTCGTCCCAGCGACTTCTTCCACACTCCTGGCTACCTGGCGTCCGCACCCGCTGTCGCGTACTCGGCGCATCCTGCATCCGTCGTCCACGCGGCTGCTCCGTTCGCCTACGCTGCGCATGCA